TCTTCCAGGTCCTAACTGTTGTACTAGACTGGCCACTAGAAGGAAACTCTTTGCTGTGAAATGAAGTCAAAGGTGTGTAATTTAAGTTATTAGGTGTGGAAGTGTAGCACAACCAGCTGGCAGATGGTGCCGTTTCATTTGTCATCTGCGTCCAACTGCAATCAATGCTACTTCCTGACGTTCAGCCAATAAGGTTGCAGCAGTCTCTGGCTGAAGGCAAGGCGCAACATGAGTAGTTAGCATTAGCCAGTCTAGCGTGGTGGAAAAACGTATTAAGACTACGCATGTTTGGATGCCAGGGGACAAACTGAATAATAGATGTGAATGGAATAATGGTGCTGTCTGCCTGCTGGTTTGGGCTAGTAGAAGTGATGATTTCCTATTACCGCCCCAGTCTGATGTAAAACTGACTGATTGGTTACCGAACTGATCTACACTACAGCAGTGTTTCCTGGTCCTGGGGACCCCGAGGAGTGCACATGGCTCTTGTCCTAGTTCTACACACCTGACTCAAATAATCACAGGTTTGAGTTGGATCAGGTGTGTAGTGCTAGGGCAAAAACAAATGTTCACCTCTTTGGGTCCCCAGGGTTAGAATTCCACTGCTGTAGACTGATCCCATGTCTGACCACTAGTTCGTTAAATGTCACTTCATGCTCTCCTACTTTGTCCCTCTAGTGTTCTGCCCCCCCACCTGGTTGAGGTCCTAGTGTCTGCAGTCTATGGAAAGGTGGGTGACTTGTTTTGACCGTATCTCAAACCACCTTCCACATGAAGCATTCTGGAATGTTGTATATGATGAATCCTTTTGCAGGACACAGTCAGGTGACAATCCAGTCCAGTGCTCTTGGGCTGGATAAGGTCTCGTCTCCCATCGGCCCTCCTGTGGGTTGGGCAGGCACTGACAAGCCTGTCTGGTTGCAGGGGTAAGGTGGGCTGCCTGCCTGGAGGGAGGGTGTCTGGGTGGGGGGCTTGACCCCGGACCCTGGACCACTGGCTGGATGCTGCAATGACTGAAAAAAAAAAAGCTGATCTCGTTTCAGAATGCTCTGCATGTAGTCTAGTTATCTAAGATTGGGATTATTTGGTTTTCAAACTGTTCTGTTTTTTTTCTAGCTCGTTGGCTGTTGATGTGTTGCTGTCCTGGTGGAGTGGGAAGGTGTGTACTGGTTCCAGTTTTATAATGCACTCAGTATAGAGAACACATTCCTAATATTGAGTTTGCCCTCAACAGCCTCAATTTGTCAGGGCATGGACTCTACAAGGTGTCGAAAGCGTTCCACAGGGATGCTGGCCCATGACACAACTGTGGGTCGGCGTTGGCTGGCTGTCCTTTGGGTGGTGGACCATTCTTGATACACGCTAGAAACTGTTGCGCTTGACAAACCTAAAAGTGTTGCAGTTGACACAAACCGGTGTGCCTGGCACCTACCGTACCCCGTTCAAATGCTCTTTTGTCTTCTCCATTCACCCTCTGAATGGCGCAAATAAACAATCCATGTCTCTTCATCTCTAATTGATTTTTAACAAGAGACATCAATGGGGAAGCTTTCGCCTGATCAGTCTGTCATGGCAAGAGCAGGTGTTTGCTGTTTTGTACACTGTCTATGTATTATAATGGAAAGGGGGCCCAACTTAATATTAGGAAGAAGTTCTTAATGTACGCTACTGTTGCATGGTCCTCTTGGACGTCCCACTGAACCATGCAATGTGTTCCACACCACATACTCTGACGTGATGAGTTCTCATTACCGCCCCAGTCTGATGTAAAGCTGACTGATTGGTTACCCCTCTGATCAAGTCATCTCATAGCTTGTTTCCTTGTCCCTACAGTGTCACCAGGATTTAATTCTCACCCTATTTTCCCCTCTAGTGCTCGTGGTGTCCACCGGCTCGCACTCCTGTTTGGGCAGCAAGGAAGTGGGGCAGTCTCGTTGGAACTGGGAAAACCAGGCCAAGTCAATTCAACCCCTGACTATGTGTTTTGCGGAATAAATAAATCTACAAATGTGATGCTTTTTTCTTTCTTTCTTGGCAGTAGTATATCAGATTTGGCCATTTTGAATGAGCCATTTGGTGTGCTGAATTCAATACTGAACAATGACATTTCCTGTCATCTCAAATCTTTACACATTTATTCTAAGTGGTTCTAAAGCAGATGTGACCGTTTTCACTGGCTATAGAAAGCAGACTTATTTTCCTTAAGCCATTGACTTGTTTTTGAAAGGGTGTTATTGTAGGCAGCATGTTTAGGCTTCAACAAGGCTGGGTCAGTGTATAGATAATATATGGCATAACGGTTAATTTATGCTGCAATCCATACTGCCAATAACGGTGGATGAGGTGTTCGCTCAGGCGCTTTACCATGGGGGGGAAAAGGTGTGTTTCGGTATATTTAACTGGGTGGATCACATTGACATCAATGCTATAGTTTGCCAGCTTGTACAAGCTCTGAGTTCAGCTTCAAAGGCGCTGCATTTACGGTGGTGTGGCCTCTGCTGAAGTCTGGGCATTCATACTACAATCGCGGAGCCATGCAGAGTTGTTGTCAAGGAAGTGAGTTTGGGTTTATATAGAATCAGATCAATGCGGCTCTGTATGAGCCCTCTGAATTATTACACAATTTGAGACGCACAGTGATGCGGTGGGGAGCTCAATTTGGGCTCTGACCACTACACGTTAATTTAGCGTTTGTTCTGACTGCACTACTTCCAAGGTATACAATTTTGGTTACAGAGATGAAATGACTTGTTTTTGGGGCCTGTTTCCTGGACACAGATTGAGCCTAATCCTGGACTGCATTACATTAGAATTAACATACTGTACAGTTAATATTGTTTAGTGCTGGGTTTGGTCTGCGTTCTTACGGCACCGATAACATTTTCGGATCAAGAATAAATTGCCATTTAGATTAAACATTTTCTGAAATGGTAAACCTGACCATTATAGCATGTGCTTTTATTTTATTACAAATACTTAAATTCAATGATGTAAACTGATTTTAGAAAAAAAAGATTTAAGCCTGCGTTTACCACAGACCTTGTTCAGTGTTGATCCGAACACTCAATGTTCCCATAGGATTTGTCCATCGAACCATGGCGGAGTTTGTGCCTACAAAAAGATACCATTACTATTGCTCTCTATAGCAGCTGGGTCTAGTCCAGGATTCTTCAATTCCGGTCCTGGAGGGCCGAAACACTTCTGTTTTTTATTTCTACCTGGTAGTTAATTGCACTCACTTGGTGTCCCAGGTCTGAATTAGCCCCTGATTAGAAGGAGAGGATGAAAAACAGAGGTGTCTCGGCCCTCCAGGACCGGAATTGAAGAACCCTGGTCTAGTCTACCGAGTTAATTGAATACAAACAAAACAAAAAAACCCAGCGAGTGGTTTTCCTCTTTAAGGAATACCTGGAATAGTAAAAAAGTAATCATTCTACCACCCACCCACCCATTAAAAAATAAAAATGGGGTGGTTGTCCCACTGGCTATCATAAATTGAATGCACTAATTTGTAAATTGCTCTGGATAAGAGCGTCTGCTAAATGACGTAAACGTAGTCTCTTCCTCTTCAGTCTCAAACCTCATCAGCGCACACTTTCTACATCTATCCTCTTCTAATTGCACTTCAGTTCTGTATGCAATAGTAGGATAGAATACCTGTATGTCTCTTGTGGTGAATTGGGCTAGTGCAGCAAAACACCACTGTCCTATAATCTGCCATAGGGGTTCGGCGAAGCTTGATCAGGAATTAAGATTATTAGTGTATGGGACAATATATATATAAAAAAGTATGATTGGTATAAAATGCCTTTTATCACTCAGATGGATGGGATTTTCTGTGGCATTAAAAAGGTATCAGTCTGACTTTGGACATGCCAAATAACCTTTCACCTGACTGCTGCTGCATGCTTTCCTTAAAGGAAAGGGCCACCTAAAACCTATATTTTGGTATTGGCAAAATATGGGGTGATTTCTGTATTTTGAAAGTGACATGTCTTGAGAACTTGATTGCTTACTAGGTTCATGCGAGTGACTGACTGCACAAAGGAGTAAACCCCATACCCTCATAAGCAATGTGGCAGTACACCCAGAACATTGCTCTGGGAACTAGGAGTGATACAATAGCTCCGTTTCAAGGTAGGAAGCCTTGTGTGGTATAAATCAGTCATATACAGGAACCAACCATGCTTATAACTTGTTTGCGTAGCAGTATAGAAGGACTGAAAGGGAACCTCTTTAGAGTTTGTATTGAGTTTGTGAACCTCTCCACGCATTAAAGATTACTTCATTTACTTTGAGTTTGAGTCCTTAGTGGTGAATTTACACGACAATTCCAACATTGGACTAATTAAGCAAATACCAAAATAGTTGTTGGATGGAGTTTCTTTAACTGGTTTCTAGAACTCCCTGGAAAACTGTCTTTTATGGTACTATTCTGCAGTGATGAAATGAAAACCTTTTCAAGACATGAAGTCAAACAGTTACACACTAACCATGGTGGGGTGTGAATTTAATAAATAGTTACACACCAACACTAACCATGGTGGGGTGAGTGAATTTAATAAATAGTTACACACCAACACTAACCATGGTGGGGTGAGTGAATTGAATAACAGATACATTGAAGTGAGGCACTGGTTGGCAGACAACCAACCAACCACTGTAAACAGTTCTAACTCAGTATGATGGTACTGTCTAGTAGCATCCTAACAGATCTGAGAGGTGTACTACAAGGCAGGATCAATGAGTTAGTCAGCAAATTTTGATAATCAACCCTAAATAACTTGATTTGAGTTGATTCAAAACGCTGAACTTAGATGTGCGTTTTGGTTGAGTAAATTAGACCACGCCCATTTCAAGCTTACCGGTATCTTTCTAAAAATGTTCTCCTGCTTTGTAGTATCCCTCTGTTTGTGATGTCATCCCTCTGTTTGTGATGTCATCCCTCTGTTTGTGATGTCATCCCTCTGTTTGTGATGTCATCCCTCTGTTTGTGATGTCATCCCTCTGTTTGTGATGTCATCCCACTCCTTGTTGTTTGGCATGACAAGCAGTGCAGTGGCATGATGGCACAAACTGGTACCCAGACTGGCCTACTAGTGTTTCTCAACCTTTTTCTAATTAGGGACAGGAAAGCTAGGTTTTGTGCGATTGCACATTCAGGGGTGGTTTCCTGGAAACCAATTAACCCTAGTCCTGGACTGAAAAACATCTGTGTCTGGGAAACTATCCCCTAAAACTAGCATTATATAGCAAACAACATCCCACAGACCGGAGGTTGAGAAACACTGAAGCTTCTTCAGATGCGTTTTATTAATGCAAACCCGGGGTGCTAATCTGCAGTGAAGACGCGTGCAGCGATGTCATCCAGTAGCCAGTCTACTCCTGTCAGTAGGTTCTCTCCTGTCACAGCACTGCAGCCGATGATACACCAGTGATGGGTCTTAATGTCATCCAGGCCCAGGGCCTACACACACACACACAGTAAGAGATGAAGTATTTCCAACCAACTGATGATAAAAACACAGAAATTGTGAGGGAGTCAGTGTGTGTGTGTGTGTGTGTGTGTGTGTGTGTGTGTGTGTGTGTGTGTGTAGGGGGAACTGTGTTCTCACCTCTCGTATGGTCTCTTTACTCAGGGATCCAGGAAGGTCCTGTTTGTTGGCGAACACCAGGAGAGTAGCTCCTGATAACCTCTAGCGAAAGGGATGAGAGGAAGAAAAGAGAGAGGGGGGGTAGATAAACGAAGGGAGAGGAAGGAGAGAGGGGGGGGGTAGATAAAGGAATGGAGAGAGAGGGGGGTAGATAAAGCAAGATGAGAGAGGGGGGTAGATAAGGAAGAGAGAGAGAGAGAGAGGGGGGTTAGATAAAGGGAGAGAGGCGGTGGGGTGGAGATCAAGGAAGGGAGAGAGAGGGGGTAGATAAGGAAGGGGACACGAGAGGGGGGGGTAGCTAAAGGAATGGAGAGAGGGGGGGGGTAGATAAAGGAATGGAGAGAGAAGGAGGGGGGGGTAGATAAAGGAAGGGAGAGAGAGGGGTAGATAAAGGAAGGGAGAGAGAGGGGTAGATAAAGGAAGGGAGAGAGAGAGGGGGGTAGATAAATGAAGGGAGAGAGAAGGGGGTAGATAAAGGAAGAGAGAGAGAAGTTAGTCATTCATTCATGTGTGTGTGTGTGTGTGTGTTGGGGGTATGCGCTCCACCTTTTGTGTGTGTGTGAGAGTTTGTGTGTGTTTACTCCTCTGTGTGTTTAAGTGTGTGTAACCCTCTAGGTACCTCCTCCAGCAGCAGAGAGCTGAGTTCCTGTCTGCAATCCTCCAGCCTCAGTCTGTCTGCGCTGTCTACCACCCACACCAGCCCATCGGTGCTCTCAAAGTAGTTCCTCCAGTAAGAACGAAGGGATTTCTGACCGCCCACATCCCAGATGTTCAACTTGAACCTGAGGATAGGAGGAGAGGGAGAGTGGAGGACGAGGAGAAGAGAGGAGTGAATGAACGGTTAAATAAAAGTGTGTGAAGTCTCCCGTCTGCCTAAGATAAGGGGTGCAAGATGACCCTCCTGATGATGATAACGGTAGCGTGTTTTGACTCACCCTTTATGCTCCAAGGTTTTGATATTGAACCCCAGTGTAGGAGAGATGGTGCTCACGTCCTCGCCATTGAACTTCTTCAGAATAGTGGTCTTACCAGCGTTGTCTAGACCCCTGTAGTACATGGTTAAGGACTGGAACTGGCCAGGGGGACCTCCGTACAGATTAGAGGGTGACACACACACATCATCATCATCATCATCATCATTTGCACCACTTGTATTAGGCAGGGATAGCCATATAGCTGAGTAATCGTTTAACCAGTGGGTTAACAAACGTAGCTTCTAAACATCGCAAGATATGTAGCCTAGCTATGGGTGTGACGGGCAGATAGTCGCAGTAGCTAGCTAGGCCTACTTGCCGACAGGCGAAGCTAGATGACCATAGCTAACTGGCCACTTAGAAAACACAACTGTATCAGACCCAACGTGAGGCGACAAAACTAGTCCGATCACATAGGTAGATAAACCACTTTCATCCGCATATCTACGACATATAGTTATGTAGCTATAGCTAGGTAAACATCGTCGCTGACTAACTCATCACAACTCTTCTTTCATTATCAGCAGAAAGGATACAACATTAGTAGTCGCATCTCTCTCTCCTTGTGCTTCATTTTCTTCAGTATCGTCAGCAAACCCATCGTGACGAACGTTTGATAAACTACTTAATATAAAGTGAAGTAATACACGATATATGATGTTATAATATCAACACATTATAATAGTTTTTCTCATGACTGTTGCTAGCTAACACAAGCACGCAGCTCCAAGACAAGTAGGAAGTTGATACTAAAGTAGCCCCGCCCACTCTAATCGCGGATTAGTGGATGTTTGGGACAAACGCCAGATCAAAATATGATTGGTTTACTTCAACGTCACTCAAAGGCTTTAGGCTATTTTATTCGTCAACCGCCGCCAAGGCAAGGGCGCAGCTGTGTACCACCTAATTCAGAGGGAGCGACATAGACCTTTAGAAACGTATATTTTGGTTTCCACTAGTTACCACAGCGAAAGAGTCCAAATTGGCTGCATTGTTAAAATTCATGAAAACAAAAATGTGCTTTTTGGTCTTGGTTAGGGTTGGGCATAATGTTAGCAATGGGGTTTAGGGTTGGGTTTAAAATCAAATTTTAAGACGAGGAATTAGGCGGGCTATATGACTTTGTGGTTGTGGTAACTAGTTAAGACATTATATTTTGCGACAAAATAGCGCCACCTGCCGTTAATATCAGGGACGACAACGTTAGGAGTTATTGTAGGCAGCTGTGCAAGCAAGGTGAGTTCTTGGGAAAAGGTAGATTGTTCAAAATGAACATTAGAGATGATAGGTTAACTCCACACTTGACATTCTATGGAGACAATAACATCAGGCTGTAGTGTCATCGGGTTTAGAGTTTTTTTTATCCTAATAGGAATTTACATTTACGTCATTTAGCAGACGCTCTTATCCAGAGCGACTTACAGTTAGTGAGTGCATACATTTTTCATACTGGCCCCTCGTGGGAATCGAACCCACAACCCTGGCGTTGCAAGCGCCATGCTCTACCAACTGAGCTCACGGGAAATAATGGTAATCCCATTTAATGGTAATCCCATTTCCACTACTACTATTATTATTGCTGTTGGTCCCACCATTGTTGTTATATGTATACTTTGACAATGTAAGTAATTGAACTTGCCATGTCAATAAAGTCTATTTAATTTAATTTGATTGAAATACTCTACATTATCAAAAGTATGTGGACACATGCTCGTCGAATATCTCATTCCAAAATCATGGGCATTAATTTGGAGTTGGTCCGCCCTTTGCTGCTATAACAGCCTCCACTCTTCTGGGAAGGCGTTCCACTAGATGTTGGAACATTGCTGCGGGGACTTGCTTCCATTCAGCCACAAGAGCATTAGTGAGGTCGCGCACTGATGTTGGGCGATTAGGCCTGGCTCGCAGTCTGTGTTCCAATTTATCCCAAAGGTGTTCGATTGGTTTGAGGTCAGGGCTCTGTGCAGGCCAGTCAAGTTCTTCCCCACCGATCTCGACAAACCATTTCTGTATGGATCTCGCTTTGTGCACGGGGGCACTGTCATGCTGAAACAGGAAAGGGCCTTCTCCAAACTGTTGCCACAAAGTTGGAAGCACAGAATCGTCTAGAATGTCATTGTATGCTGTAGTGTTAAGATTTCCCTTTACTGGAACCAAGGGGCCTGAACCATGAAAAACAGCCCCAGACCATTATTCCTTTTCCACCTAACTTTACAGTTGGCACTATACATTGGGGCAGGTAGCATTCTCCTGGCATCCGCCAAACCCAGATTTGTTCGTCGGACTGCCAGATGGTGAAAAGTGATTAATCACTCCAGAAAACGCATTTCCACTGCTCCAGAGTCCAATGCGGCGAGCTTTACACCACTCCAGTCAAAGCTTGCCATTGCGCATGGTGATCTTAGGCTTGTGTGCGGCTGCTCAGCCATGGAAACCCATTTCATTAATAATAATAATATGCCGTTTAGCAGGTGCTTTTATCCAAAGCAACTTACAGTCATGCGTGCACACATTTTTTTTTTTTTTTTTGTGTATGGGTGGTCCCGGGGATCCTTGGCGTTACAAGCGCCGTGCTCTACCAGCTGAGCTACAGAGAACCAGTTCTCCTGACGAGCAGTTATTGTGCTGATGTTGCTTCTAGAGGCAGTTTGGAACTCGGTAGTGAGTGTTGCAACCCGGAAAGACGATTTGTACACGCTTCAGAACTCTGCGGTCCCGTTCTGTGAGCTTGTGTGGCCTACCACTTTGTTGCTCCAAGACGTTTCCACTTCCCCATAAAAGCACTTACAGTTGACCGGGGCAGCTCTAGCAGGGCAGACATTTTATGAACTGACTTGTTGGAAAGGTGTCATCCTATGACGGTGCCACGTTGAAAGTAAGGCAATTCTACTGACAATGTTTGTGAATGGCTGTGTGCTCGATTTTATAGACCTGTCAGCAATGGGTGTGGCTGAAATAGCCCAATCCACTAATTTGAAGGGGTGTCCACATACTTTTGTATATATAGTGTATATCCAGTTATGATCAAATAATTTAGTCAGTTATTTGACGTTTCTTATCCGATTTGTGATTAGGCTGTGATGATAAGATAAAACTCAACATGGGGTCCTTCTCCTCTCTTACACTGACTTACAAAATGCCTGCTGTTGATCTTTGTGGTGATGTGTAACAATTTGTACAATCGTATGTAGCCTACAATCTACCTGATCTTCTCAAAATATAAGTAGGCCTATGGCTCTTGGCTATCCACGATCCGTGCCCGCGAAAATTCCCGGCGTTTCTGCTTCACATTCCCGCACCGTGCCTACGCTTCCTTCAAGTTATAAAATTCCCAGCGCGTGGGGGCGAAAAAAAAAAAAGCACAGTCAAATATGGTCATGTATGCGGCGCGCCCATTGACCAACTTCCCCCCGTTTCTTTGCAACCATGCCATTTAGAATAAACTGAAACTGAAAGCATAACGCCCTAGCTCCGCTCCTCTCCCCCCATCCCCTCATCCCCTACTGTACAAAAAAAGTGGGCGTTTTCTACAAACATTATAAGAGTGAAAGCACGCTCCAGCTTCTGCAATGAAGGCGTAAAGAGAGCTCTGCAGGTAAACTGACAGCCAATACCCTGCTCATTTATCCAAGAACGCGCTGTAGGCTTTTAAAGCAAGTTGAGAAGATCACAGGAATACCGGTGATGCTGGTGACCATTTAGAAACGATCCCTTTATTTGCTGCTGCGGTTGACCGTGCACCATATGGGACCTTTACTAACAGATATGCCGCTGGTGGCATCGTTCATGGACTCGCGATCAGAAGGCAGCGGCACGTCTTTCTCCGGTGAGGACTGCCCCAGCCCATCTGAATCGGTAAGTTACACTCAAGTTTATTGAGATAATAATAGCATGTCACTGCATAGGATCAATCATTTTAATAATTAATCACTTATAGGCTAGTATAAGTATTCAGATGATGAGATTATGATCAAATTGTTTGTGATGCTGGTCCAATACTTTCTCAGTTCTGCATCTACAGTAGACTATAAAACAGCAGCCAGTGTTCATATATGATGTGCAGGGTTTTGCAGTGAATCAAGGTCTTGCTTGCACACCTTGTAGCTCTCCATGACCAAAAGTGGTATCACCTGGGTGTACAGGTGGCCAGATCACTAGTTATAGATCACCTGGGTGCACAGGTGGCCAGATCACTAGTTATAGATCACCTGGGTGCACAGGTGGCCAGATCACTAGTTATAGATCACCTGGGTGCACAGGTGGCCAGATCACTAGTTATAGATCACCTGGGTGCACAGGTGGCCAGATCACTAGTTATAGATCACCTGGGTGTACAGGTGGCCAGATCACTAGTTATAGATCACCTGGGTGCACAGGTGGCCAGATCACTAGTTATAGATCACCTGGTGCACAGGTGGCCAGATCACTAGTTATAGATCACCTGGGTGCACAGGTTGGCCAGATCACTAGTTATAGATCACCTGGGGTGCACAGGTGGCCAGATCACTAGTTATAGATCACCTGGGTGCACAGGTGGCCAGATCACTAGTTATAGATCACCTGGGTGCACAGGTGGCCAGATCACTAGTTATAGATCACCTGGGTGCACAGGTGGCCAGATCACTAGTTATAGATCACCTGGGTGCACAGTGGCCAGATCACTAGTTATAGATCACCTGGGTGTACAGGTGGCCAGATCACTAGTTATAGATCACCTGGGTGCACAGGTGGCCAGATCACTAGTTATAGATCACCTGGGTGTACAGGTGGCCAGATCACTAGTTATAGATCACCTGGGTGCACAGGTGGCCAGATCACTAGTTATAGATCACCTGGGTGTACAGGTGGCCAGATCACTAGTTATAGATCACCTGGGTGTACAGGTGGCCAGATCACTAGTTATAGATCACCTGGGTGTACAGGTGGCCAGATCACTAGTTATAGATCACCTGGGTGCACAGGTGGCCAGATCACTAGTTATAGATCACCTGGGTGTACAGGTGGCCAGATCACTAGTTTTACCCCATATGTAACTCTGTGTTGTTGTTTTTATCGCACTGCTTTGCTTTATCTTGGCCAGGTCGCAGTTGTAACTGATAACTTGTTCTCAACTGGTTTACCTGGTTAAATAAAGGTGAAATAAAAAAAATAAAAATAAATAGATCACCTGGGTGTACAGGTGGCCAGATGAGTGGATAAATATCACTGTTTTTCCCTCCCAGCATTTCATTTGTATTAAGGTGTATTATAACCTGTATGTGACTGACTGAGTGATCCCACATTTTATTTCCAGGAGCGAGGAGGAGAGAAAGGAGTGCGTGTGGACAGGAGAGGTTGAAAGAGAGTGACGAAAGAACCGAGATGCTTGCCAGGAAGACAGGAAGAAGAGTAGAAAAGGAAGAAACAAGAAAACAGACCAGGAGGCAGGACCATATCCACGAGGGAAGTACTTCCAAGACTCCATTTTTAGATATCCTCTCTGTTTATCTCAGGGTCGTGGTGCGCGCGCGGAAACAGATCGCGAGCTCGAGCGGATCTAGCCGCGCTCGCGAGCTACGCACGTCTCCCGCGCGCGCGAGCGGAGAGCGCGCGCGCGCGCGCGCGCGCGGCGCGGCGGCGAGCGCGCGAGCGCGCGGCGCGGGCGCGCACAGACGCGCGCACGCGCACGAAGGCGCGCGCGCAGGAGCGGGACGAGGGACCACAACGCCGAAAGAGGAAAGAGAGGGGAGAGAGAAAGGAGAAA